GGCCGTAACCACAAGGAGCTTGCCAGATGCCCGGAGAGCAGGGCAGAGCGAGGCTCCGCTTTTTGCTGGGGGGCAGGGGGTGGCCCTTTGCCAGGCTCAGCCTGGGGGTCCCATGCAAAATCCTACCATGAAGGGTTTTGATGCGGAGTCGCGGCTGCGCTGTCAGGCGCCTGCTTTCCTCGGTAGACCAGGCAGCGTGGCAGGGAGGCCTGTCCTCGGGGGATCCTGCCCCCTGGCTCAGCCCCGGGGGCTCCCAGATTCCACCGTGGGCCCAATGGGCAGGTTTCAAGTTCCCAGCGGCCACGGGGAGCAGGGCGCGTGGTTCCTGCTGCGTGAAAAATCCGGCCCTCTGTGACTCCCCGGTCCCAGGGAGCCAATAACAGGGCAGGTTTCCTGGGTCCCCACCCAGCCTCCCTCTCTGGCCCTGACGCTGGCTTGGAGGGTGGCATGGGGGGACCCCGGGGAAGGGCATTGAGGGGTCGGGGTGCAGCTGGGTGAGGATGCTGCTTGTGCCCTGTTGTTTAGCTCCGCCCCGGGATGCGTGCCAAGGCCACAGCGAATGGGGCGGCTCTGTTGCTAATTACGGCCGCCCAGCAGGTGTGCCTGTCAACCCACAGCCCCCGAATCCCGGGAGTGAGGCCCTGCCCTGGCACAGGGGAGGCCGGGGGCATTCCTCACAGCCCTGCTCCCCCACAGCTGTAAGGCCAGGCTCCTCCGAGGACGTCCTGACGTCCCCGCATGGGACCGGCCCTCCAGCCAGAGCAAGAGCTCATGGAGGGCAGGGCCCTGGTGGGAGGCTGGATGGGCAGTGGGCAGAGGGGGGCCTGGCATGCTGCAGGGAAGGGGCGGAGTCCTGGGTCCAGAGTGGGTGGGGCCAGAGGGGCGCTGGAGGGGGGCAAGGGGAAGGAGAGCACTGGAGGAAGGGTGGGCAGGGCTGGGAGGTGCCTGCCTCCCCCGCTGGGCACCCTGCTTACCCCGCATACCCCGCTGGGCACCCTGCATACCCCGCTGGGCACCCTGCATACCCCGCTGGGCACCCTGCATACCCCGCTGGGCACCCTGCATACCCCGCTGGGCACCCTGCATACCCCGCTGGGCACCCTGCATACCCCGCTGGGCACCCTGCATACCCCGCTGGGCACCCTGCATACCCCGCTGGGCACCCTGCATACCCCGCTGGGCACCCTGCATACCCCGCTGGGCACCCTGCATACCCCGCTGGGCACCCTGCATACCCCGCTGGGCACCCTGCATACCCCGCTGGGCACCCTGCATACCCCGCTGGGCACCCTGCATACCCCGCTGGGCACCCTGCATACCCCGCTGGGCACCCTGCATACCCCGCTGGGCACCCTGCATACCCCGCTGGGCACCCTGCATACCCCGCTGGGCACCCTGCTTACCCTGCTGGGCACCCTGCTTACCCTGCTGGGCACCCTGCTTACCCTGCTGGGCACCCTGCATACCCTGCTGGCTGCACAGGGCGTACGGGGAGGGGGAGCTGGTGCTGGGATGAGGAGCCGGGCAGGGCAGCTGGGTACTGGGGAGGCTGGCACCAGCTGATGCAGGAGGAGGTGCATAGAGAGCTGGGTGGGCTGGGGGTGGAGATCTGTATAGGGCAGACTCAGAATCGGGCCCCGCCCTGCAAGGAGCTGAGCGCCCTGCCCCCACCCTGCCCCTGGGGGCGCTCAGCTGCTGTCGGAGTGGAACCGGCATCGCGCTTCCTGGTTCCCTTCCCAGCCCGTCGGAGCCTGGAGCCTCTGCCCTGCCCCTCCCGCTCCAGCAGCCCCCCAGGGAAGGTCCCGCTCGCCCTGTCACTGGCTCCTGCCCTGCCCTGGGGTCAGAGCCAGGGGAAGGGAGGAACTTGTGTCCTCGTCAGCCTGGACAGCAAACCCGGTTCTGGGCGGCGTGGACCTGAGCCGAGGGCCGGGCGGGCCGGGCGGGCGTTGGGCCCTCGTGGCTGGGCCTCTGCCCCCGAGAACCAAGGGGCGTGTTCAGCACAGGGGGTCCGCCCGGCCCCGCAGAGACCCAGCCTCAGTGCCCTGCTCTGCCAGACCCCTCCCCGCGTGCCCCGGCCACGCTGGTTATGAGGGGCCCAGCCAGCTCAGGTCCCGGAGCAGCAGCCGCAAGACGAGATCTGGGTGCAGGAATCCCTGGGCCAGGTTCTCTGGCCTACGCCGCGGGTCAGACCATTGACGGTGCCATCTGTCCTGGGCAAAGCCCCTGCAAAGCTGAGTCAGGCAGAATTAGCCCCCTGCAGGCACAGCCAGGCCAGGTGGGACTTGCCTCGCCCCTGAATAACAGCCCCCAACTCTCATAGCCATCTCCAACGCAGTGTTGCCCCGTCTCCCAGCGGGGAAACTGAGGCAGAAAGCGGGGCCGTGCCCCGCCCCATGTCTCTCATGGGCAGGGAACGCCTCTTTCTGAGTGCCAGGCTGGAGCCCTGCCCCGAGCCCTCCGACTCCCTGTGGTTGGCCAGGCGCTGCGGGACACACAGGCATGGCGTGGGTGGGCGTGGTGGGGGCAGGCAGCCGTGCGGCCATGAGCCTTGCTCTCCTCTCCTGCCCTGCAGGGTGAAGGCCAAGAAGGGGGTTAACCTCCTCAACACCAAATCCCGGAGCCACCAGTGGCTGGTGACCTCGGAGCTGCTGACGGGCGGGAAGCACTCCACCGCCACCGTCGACGTGGCCAAGGTCGATGGCGCGCTGCCCAGGTAAGCGCTTCGCCGGCCCCTCTGCTTTTCTGGGCGCTCGGCTCCAGGCCTCGGCATCCAGAGGGAATTCCCCCCAGCGGCTCAGCGGGGCAGCTGCTCCGGGCCTGGCTCTTTGTGCCGGCTCCCTGCCACGCCTCCTGGCTTTCTCTGCACATGGCGCAGCTCTGGGCACGGCCCGGCCTGGCTCACTAGGGAGGTGGGGGCGTGGCAGGGCTGGGGCAGCATCTGCACTCATTGGGAGGGAAATTGGGATCTTGTGTTGCCCTGGGCTGCCCCCTATGAGCTTGGCTTGCAAGCAAGACCCAACCCTACATGCCCAAAGGCTCTGGAGGAACAGTTGGACCTCGGGGTCACAGACCCAGCCCTGCCCAGTGCTACCCAGGCCCCCGGGCCAGCTGCTCTGTCCCGGAGCCAGCACGCCACGAGCCGGACCTTAAAGGCGCCAGAAGAAACCTGCGAGAGCCTGGCGATGGGCAGGGTTCAGCCGGGCTCCCCGGCCAGCCCGGTCCTAGGTCCCTGCAGTGGGGAAAGCACGGAGGGAAGCCAGGCCTGGTCTGAGCGGCGGGAGCTGGCGGGAGCTGTGCTGGGGCGGGAAGACGCGAGTGGAGAGAGCCCCAGACCTGGGCTGTGTATTTGGCAGCACAAAGTAAAGGACACACTTGGACAACGCTCCCTCCTGTCCGCAAGGAACAAGGGGAAGCCAAAGACCGTCACCAGAGGCTGGTTGTGTTCAGCTCCCTCGTCCGCTGGACACTCCCGGGGAAAGCCTGGTGCTGTAAGTCAGGAGGCGCCATAGACCATAGTCATTGGTTTTCATGTGCTTTAGTTAATAGTCCAATGTCATACACAGTTGGCTAAAAGAGCCTAGAATGTGTGTTTCCAATGATGAGGATTATGTGCAGTGTATTAATCAGCCACTAGATGACTCTGTGATGTAGAGTTCTAGAGTTTGGTCCCTGGTAAACAAAGGCAACTAAGCTGGAACTCAAAATGTGTGGAAGCCTGTTTATTTGCACCTATAGATGCTGCTGATTTCTTTAGTAAATACCTCCTGTCTGTTCCCTTTATCACACGATGGTGCCAGATATTTAAACACCCAGAGATTTCCCTAGTTGAATCAGGAAGCAATCGAGGATTTCACAGCATGGGAAAGAAAGCACATCATAGTTACCATTTCTTATTTATTAAATACCATTAATATGGCATGGCACATTCACACAGCTCCTTACAGACATCAATTAACATAACAGCACAGCCTCTAGGAGGTTACCCATCCAGCCAACTTAGCAACAGTTAAATCAGCTGTGCAACATATGGTAAGTAATTATTAATTGCCATGTAATTAATTAATCAATGAATGTGCGGGGCGGGGTGAGGCTGTCATGGCGGTTGCATTACTTGCCCAGCAGCGTAAGCTGGTGAGTCACTCAGCCCTGTTTGCAAACACACACGCAGTTCAGAGGCATTTTTCAAATGTCCCGCTGACAACTCATTATTCTTTCCCCCGTTCTTCCCGGACCTGGCACGCACAGCCAGCCCGCGTGTGTCCTGAGAGGGGATTTGGCACCGAGATGCGTCACACGGGTGCACCACGGTGCCTTACCAGTGCCCCATTGCACTGTGGGTGGGCCCAAGATCCTGGTGCCTGGAGCGTGGTGGTGGAGGGATAGGAGGGGGAATAAGGGGAGGCCCCAAGGCTCAGTGAGGGGAGAAGCCGGGTCCCCCAAGGCGGATCTGAGGGATTCCTGCCTGCTCCTGGGCCCATTCCAGCCCATCTGGGTCCCATTCGCCGCTCCCCACCCTGAGCACCACCACAGCCTCTGGAGCCTGCTCGCTCCCAGGCGTGCAGGAGCACTGCGGCAGAGTCCCCAAAATACTTGAGGGCCACCCCCGCCTTTGCATCCAGGCTCCCCCTCCCTGGCATGGCAGTGCCTGTGGCTCCGACCACAAGGGAGAGACCTGGATTGGCCGTCGTTGGGAACGAGGGTTCCTCTTGTTCGGTGCGTTCTGTGGAAACCATCCGTCCAAAGGATGGGAGTGATGGAAGCCAGTGGAAATACAGAGCAGGGAGACCCAGTCACCTCACACAGGGGCTTGCACCTTTTTGGGGTCAGGGGCCACCGACCAGCAGAAAAATCAGTCGGGGGCCGCGCACAAGCCCTCACGGACGTGGCCCCCGACTGAGAAGCAGAAAGACCCTCCCCACATTCCCTTCGCACACCAGAGCCTGGGGGGGGGGCGCGGCTGGTGGAATTGGTGTGCTCCAGCCCCACAGAATGACGGCTTCCCAATATGGGGGAGGAGCCCTGAGCCTCAGGGTCAGATCCAGGCAAGCTGGAGGGCCGCATTTGGCCCCCAGGCCTTAGGTTCCCCACCCCTGACCTCGCATCACAGGGAGCTTTGGGTACAAAGAGAGAGGAGATGCACAGCACATCTTTCCTAACAAGGGCTCCGTAACATAAGAACTAGGGTCACTTCGTTAATAGGCAGCAGGTTTAAAACAATCCGAAGGCAGTATTTCTTCACACAGAGCAGTCAACCTGTGGAACTCCTTGCCAGAGGATGGCGTGAAGACTAGGACTTCAACAGGGTTCAAAAAAGAGCTAGAGAAATCCAGGGAGGTTAGGTCCATCAGTGGCTGCTAGCCAGGATGGGTAGGGATGGTGTCCCTGGCCTCTGTGTGTCAGAAGCTGGGAATGGGGACAGGGGAGGGATCACTTGATGATTCCCTGTTTTGTTCCCTCCGTCTGGGAGCACCTGGCACTGTGGGCAGACAGAACACTGGGCTAGATGGACCTTTGGTCTGACCCAGTCTGGCTGCTCTTATGTGATTCCCATGATGCCCTGCAGGAGCTCGGTCACAGGGAGCCATCGGTCATGAGAGAGGTAGGCTAGGACATGCTTGAGTCATGAGGGGCCTGGAACTACAACTCCCATGAGGCACTGTGACAGCTCAGCCCCAGAGCAAGAGCACAGTGACTCATGGGAAGTGTAGTCCATTTGGGATAGAGCCCATGGAGAGCTAAGACACCTGGAACTACAACTCCCATGAAGCTCCACAGAAGCTGCGACAGATTTACTGCTGAAATTAAAACCAGGAGACGGTTGAGCGGTACCTGGGTTGACCAGCCCTGCTGTCTGCTATTCTAGCAGTGTCTTCAGGGCCCTGATGGGGGCCCCTTTGTGCAAGGCGCTGCACATACCCACAGTGCCAGTCCCTGCCTGATTCACGCCAGCTGGGGAGCTGCCCTTAGCATCTCAGGGCATGCAAGCCCTGTGGGTTACTGAGCATGCCAGCGGCATGGCAGAGCGGGTTCCCACATGGCTGTTAAATGCTGCCATGCCTAGACGGCCCTCGCTCTGCAAGGGCTGCTCTGGGTGCTGGCAGGGGAGGGTCAGCTCCATCAGAAACAAGCCCCTGTCTGTGCAAATTGATCCAAGCCGTTGGCACTGGGGAGATGCTAGTTTTCTCCAGTGTTACCCTCTCCTGAGGCAGCCCTCGTACGGCGCTTTGGATATAGGTGGGCGTGGCACGGCCCCTGCACCGCCCTCGGCTGGTGTGGGGTCCTTCTGCCAACGCCCTGAGTCAGGCTTCTCGCTGGGAGTGTTGGCAGCCTGGGGGACTGAGACCTTTGTAGAAACATCCTGTCCGCATGCCTTGCTGAGCACTTGGCTGAGCCTGTGTTTGGCTGCCTGGGCATGGGCCACTGGTGCCTACGGGGGCAGGGAGGCAAGGAGGCTGCCCCAGAGGAAAAAGGAGGGGGATGAGGGAGCCCCCCCACTAAGCAATTACAACTTTGGTGGGGCCACAGGAGGGCCAGTGCCCCTGGGGTGCCACCATGAGTCACCTACAGCCATGAGATGCGGCAGAGGGGCCTAGCCTCTAAAGCCTGATCATCTCCCCCCCCGGGCCATCCGGGGCTGGGATCCGCAGGGCAAGAACCTGCTTTCCTTCCCCCTCCCGGAGTGCAGATGTTAGCAGCTGGAGCAAGGGGGAGTTGTGAAAGCCGCACGCGGCTGTGGAAATCCCCAGATGCCAGAGGGCGAGTGGCTCCGGATCTGGGAGCGAGGGAGGTTTTACGGTGATCCTGTTTTCTTTTAAGGAGATGACGGGCTGGCTGAGGGGAGGAGGGACACGGCCCCCCGCCCATGCAGATTAAAACGAGCCTTGAAAGGTTAGAGACGGAAGATGAATTGAAAGCGATGACAATCACCTTTTAGGAAAACAACTTGATCAAATATGATTGTAATGGAAAATATAAATGGCTTACGCCCGTTTCCCCCTCAGCATCAAAGGGTGTGGGGTTGCAATCCACCAGGGAGCAGGGTAGGAGCAGTTACTCCAGTCCCAGCAGGGGGCGCTGTGCGCAGAGGGGGAGTTCTGCCTGGTTACTCCAGTGCCATGCTCTCCCAGAAGGAGGCGCTGGCGCGAATGGGACACAGTATTGTGGGGCTGCTCCCAGGTTTCCTGCCCCAGCCTCTGCGGGAGATGAGACAGGCGCCTCTGAGGGGGACACATCTCCCATCTCCTAGCTGAAGGCAAACTGGGCCAGAGGAGTGTTGGACTTTGCCAGTCAGAGACTGCACAGCCTGGGGGCAGCACAGGGCCAGATGCTAGGGAGCACCAGCCTGGACTGCAGGATGGCTGAGAGCAGCTGGTTGGCTCCCGTGATTTTCTCCTTTTGTTCATTATATATTTATAGGAGTGAAACTGGCCGTGTAAAACATCCCCCGATCAATGGCGCAGTCTCAATAAACGCTACACGATGCAAAATCAATTGCTCGCCGGCTGCAGCCCGCTCAGGCCTTAGGTATTAATTATTTCTCTAAGAAAGGGACAATGCCCGGCTCAGACTCAGATGACTCTATAAAACGGCCCCGTCGACTGAGCAGTGAACCCAGCTCCAGAATCTGCCTGGCTTTTCCCCCAGGCCAGCACTTGGAATCTGGCTGCCCGCGTGCTCTTCCAGGGGGCACTCAGTCACTCACTTTTGAGCCTAGTCAGTTTCACTTTCTGGTTCTGCTCAGGCAGCGCTCACCGACCAGTCGATCTGGATCTACTGGTCGATCTTGGAGCCTCTGACAGGGGATCCTGACTGGTGTGGCCACGTGGCTATCAAGCGACAGTCCCTCCTCTCCTACTGCTGCGCACCTCCTGTCCTTTGCCTTGGAGCTGTTCCCGCAGGAGCCTCCGGCTTGCTGTGCAGGGGAGGGAGAGGAGGGCGCTGGTGTCAGGGTGCCCCCTTGTCCCACCCGTATCCTGTCTAAGGAGCAGAGAGCGGCCACAACAAGAGTAGAGACAGCAAGTTTGCAGGCTGCTTTTGGGAGTGGTGCAGGGAGCCACCTGGGTGGTGGTGCAGCTGGAGCCCACATCCCAAACCCTACCCCAGTCATGAACCCCCTTCTGCACCCCAAGCCCATGCCCCGAGCACCCCTGCATCCAAACGCCTGCCCAGAGCCTGCACCGAGAACCTCCTCTGGCACCCCTGCCTGCCCCCAAGCTCAGCTCAGAGCCCCTCTCACTCCAAATCCTTTAGGCCAAGACCAGAGCCTGCGCCCCAACCCTCTGCCCCAGCCTGGTGAAAGGGAGGGAGGATGGGGGCAGGGAGGGTGAAGGGGCACGAAGGAGGCGGGGCCAGGGTATTTGGGTTTGAGGTAGATCCTGGATCGCACTTAAATTCCAAAAGTGATTTTGTGCTTAAAAAGGTTGGAGAGCCCTGTGCTAGGGAGAACCCTCGGTGCAAGGGCAGAGTCCTCCGATGCTTGGTCCACCTCCTGCGCGTGGTCTCAGGCAGCTTTGCAGTCCCTGTGACCAAACCTGGTGGTGGAGGGAGAGACGAAAGGGCGTGGAAGAGCCATGCAATGGTGCAGAGAAGGGAAATCTGGCACTTGTGATTGTTTGGCTCATAACGCAAAGACGGGGACATTTGGTGCGAAGAAGCCAATGCAACAGGGATACAGGGCAATGCTTTCTAGCACAATTAGCCTGTGGAACTCATTGCCGCAGTACATTGTGCTGAGGCCGGGGGCTCAGCACGTTTCAAAAGAGGCCTGGACAGGTCTTTGGACAATGGGACGATCCCGATAATGGGAAAGGTTGAAAACTGAACCCTCCTGCTTCCGGGCGTGAGCCAGTGTCTGCCCGACGGGGCCGGTAGAAAAGGTTTTGTCTGAGGGCGGGTTATCCCCTAACGGCCCCCTTGGGAGTGACTTGCATTCTCCCCGCCCCCCACAGCAGCTGTTCCTGGCCATGGATAGAGACAGGATAGGGTGGGCCCATACAGCTGTGCCTTGGTCACACGCGTGTATTTTTTTTTTTTCCAGGAGGTGGGCGGGCGTTAGCCCATCCACATCTAAAAGACCAGCCCCCATCCTGTGGGGAGGGTCCACAGAAACTGGAAAAGCCAACTAATTACGGGGGACAAATAATGAAAAAACAGGTACAGGTGTGAGGGTCAAAGGGTTAAACCAGACAGCGCCTACTGCCCCCCGAAGGTCTCGAGAGAGCCAGTGGACGCTGCCCATTGGAACTCTGCCCGGATACGTGAGCAGATACAGCAACGGAAATAGGCCCCACAGTCGCAGGCCCAGCCCCCAGTCACAGGCCCCTCCCTGGTTTTATAGATTGCCCATTTGGCCATAGCCAGGAGGAGGTTGACCAGGAGGTCCCGCGACTTTGTGGGGCCACGGATGGGATGTGCGTAAATTAACAAGTGGGGGGAAAAGTGCAGCCAGAACCGCAACAGGAGGTTCTGGAGGAGCCGAAAGAGGGGTTGTAGCCTGGTGCACTCGATGTAGATGTGCGCCAGCTTCTCTCTTACGCCACAGAAGAGGCACATGTTGGGGGTGGGGTTGAACCGCGCCAAGTACACGCCCATGCTCACTGCGCCGTGCAGGATTCTCTAGCAGATATCCTCGGGCTGTGGAACCAAGGTCGAACAGAAGCTGGCCCACCAGGGCTCCCCACCCTCCATTGGTGG